GCCACGGTGGCTGTTTGATTCAGCCGCTTCAGAAGAAGCCAAAAAGGGGGTCGGGTTTCCAAACTGGACGGGACGTAACGCATCCGAGTTAAAAAACGGGATCCTCGACTCTTGACCGGTGGCGTAACTGGCGCGGAGAGACGACGACTTGAGACGAAAGCCAGCAATGGCCACACAAGCAGACACGAATTCGCATAAATTTGCAAAAAGTCGTTGCCGAACTCTATATTTTTTTGGCTGTCCGAAGATTCAAGCGTACACAATACACATGGACCCCAACAGGCCTAAAATTCAAAAGAAAATTCAAACCTCTCTCTCTTTCGAAATTCCACCTATAAATTCTCACAGTCTCTCTCATTCACAATCAGGTTCGTCAACACTTCCTCTCTAAAAACGCAGAGAGAAGAAATGAAGAGCCGAAACTCCAAGAAGATCTCCGCAACATGGATTCCCATCTTCTGCATCCCTGCTTTCCTTCTGGGGATGCTCATCACCGGCAGGTAACATTTCCAGCTTACCCAGGTTATGGGTTTTTCTTCAATTGCAATTTCTCTCTCTCTCTCTCTCTCTAGCTTTTAGTGCTGAGACGAATTATGGGTTTTGGATTTTTTATGGTAGTAGAATGTGGGCAGCACCTGAATCCAACGGTCAGCTTATTTCGATTCGTCGCCAAGAGCAAGAGCTTCAAATCGTCGCCGAAGATTGCGCAACTAAGAAGGTGGTCATTTTAATTAATTGCTCTCTAATTACATACCCTTTTGGTTAAATTTGACTATTCAATAAAAAAAATTTGTTGCTATTTATAGAAGCATGGACATGATAAGAATGTGATGGACGAAATCTACAAAACCCATGAATCAATTCAGTGAGTGCAAACACTTGAGCTCTTGTTTTTTTTTTTTTGACTTGGGATATTTTGTTTTTGTTGGGGTTGTATGAATTTGTACTTTGTACTGAAAATTTGGCTACTTTCTTTTGACTTTTGCTGGGGCGTGCCAGATCTCTAGACAAGCAGATGGCGTCGATTCAGATGGAATTGGCGGCAGCTCGGAGTTCACAGGAGATGGAGGACTCCGGTGGCTCCACCTCCAACTCGCAGTTGTCTAAGGACAATTCGACGAGAAAGAAAGCGTTTATTGTTATTGGAATTAATACTGCTTTTAGTAGTAGAAGGAGGCGAGATTCAGTTAGAGAGACTTGGATGCCTCAAGGTACTATAAGCTATGTATTCTACTTTATAAGTGTAAACAAGATCTTTTGTTTCTGTGGGCCTGCTTGCTGAATACGTCTGAATTGTTCGCCAGGGGAAAAGCTACTGCAGTTGGAGCGCGAGAAGGGGATAGTTATCCGTTTTATGATTGGCCACAGGTATGGAAAAGTTACATTTAGATCATCAAATTACAGCCTATGAAGTGAAATTTGATGAGGCAATTTTGACATATGCATGTGCCCATCTCCCATGAAATTTTGATACTTCTTCATAGATAGTAGAATATTGTTTAGATAAGGCAGTACTCCTCTAACGTGTCTAAGTAATTAAGTGAATTTATTCATACAGTCGCTCTGTGGTGTGGTAAAATGTCCGGTAACATTAAACTGCTCATTTAGCAGTAACACGTTCTGCACCACATGCCACCCTTACTTTAATTTTTAAGTCATAACTTAGAAATTTAGGCATGTAGCTTAGTTCACACTCGTTCTTTTGCTAACCTAAAACATTTTTATTGACAAAAAAAAAAAAAAAAAAACTAACTAAAACATTTTACCACGTTTAATATGATCTACTCATAGCTCATTTTTGTGGGTTTGTTCTGCATCAGACGTTCCTCTTACTTCAGTTTTTTATCAACATTCGAGATATTGAGACTTGCAACTTAGTTCTTCATTTTTTTTTTGCTAATGTTATCGTATACTGGTCACTGTGTGTCCTACTGGTAATGTCGGGCCTCATATTGTGTCTAACCATTCTGATGTAACAATGACGTGCCATTTTTTTTCTTGTGCGAAAAGAATGAATATGGAGGATAAAGGATAAATTATACATACGAATAGATGCCATAGCATTCCTATTTCTTCTAACCATCGTACACAACCCTAGGATACGTTATTGAATGGTGTTCTGTTTTCTTTCTGAAACTGACCTGAGTGGTATCTGCCTCATTCGTACAGTGCAACATCCAACAGCATTTTAGATAGAGCCATTGATTCAGAAGATGCTCAACATAATGATTTCCTCAGGCTGGTAAGAGAGAGGACATAAAGTTTTGTATATGTGCAACTACTGTTAAGACAATTCAGTAAGGAATTCGGTCTCATTCTTGTTTTGCACTTTAGGAACACGTTGAAGGTTATCATGAATTGTCTGCCAAAACGAAAGTTTCTTCACCACAGCAGTTGCACAATGGGATGCTGATTTTTATGTCAAGGTGGATGATGATGTACATGTCAATTTAGGTATGCACCGCTGCTGCATTTCTTTATCTTTAACTATTACAATTTGTTACCAAGGATGAATGCCTTACATGCTTTGCTTGCAGGTATGCTAGCTACAACTCTTGCCCGTCACCGTTCAAAACCTAGAGTCTACATCGGGTGTATGAAATCTGGACCTGTTCTTGCCCAAAAGTAATTGTCCTGATGCATTTATAACAATGAGAGATAATGTTACTCTTCAAGTTATATGTGCCTTCAGGGAGGAGATATTGATCTTTTTATGTTTCTTTACTCTCTAGGAATGTGAAGTACCATGAACCAGAGTATTGGAAGTTTGGAGAGGAGGGAAACAAATACTTCCGGCATGCAACTGGACAGATTTATGCAATCTCAAGGGATCTTGCTACATATGTCTCCATTAACCAGTAAGGATACATCAGTTCATCTTTTCTATTTCTTCAAATATAAGTTATATTAACCTTGTCTGCTACTACATTAAGCATCTTGGACTAGATTTTGAGACTTGACATATTTGTGTTGGAGATAGGAAATGCATTGTATGGTTGACCTGCGTCAGCAAAAATACTCTAAAACATTGAAGTTTGCAAACATCTTTTATCCTAGCTTTGGTAATAGAGAAGAAAAGAAAAACAAGTCTGGATTTGTCTTTAACCATTAAAAAATGTTTTGTGAAATCGCAAAAATATGAGAATTGATGATATGGATCTGAATCAAATTAATGGCCTGAAAGCAGCGGTGTTGTCAGTTCTCACCCCCTGCATGTCTAAATGGGATTAATCCATGGGTTCATATTTAATAAAATCTGCAAGTTTTTAAGGTGGTAACTATGGTTTTAAAATTTTCACGTGTTACTTTTTGCAAGACGTGATAGAGTTCTGGGACATCCTGTTTTTTATTGCAGGCCCATATTGCATAAGTATGCCAATGAAGACGTGTCACTTGGTTCATGGTTTATTGGTCTTGAAGTCGAACACATTGATGAACGCAATATGTGCTGTCGTACACCACCAGGTACTGTTTTTTGAAACAAATATGTTATTAGTGAAGGTTTTGCATCCAAATCTAAGGAGAAAAAACAAAGAAATGCAGTTTGGTATTAGCAATGGCATTTGGTGCATGTTTGCAACGTATAAATTTCATAATTTTGTCCATTGCTGCTGGGGTATTTATAGTTTAGTTGAATGGTCTGCAGATTGTGAGTGGAAGGCACAGGCAGGTAATATGTGTATTGCATCATTTGATTGGAGCTGCAGTGGTATCTGCAAGTCGGTGGAAAGGATTAAATCTCTGTTCATGAGAAGTGTGGTGAAGGGGATGCAGCTGTTTGGAGTTCATTATTCTAAATCGGATCACGTTGTATCAAGTTCAGCCAACAATCTTCTTGAGTGTAGGAGATAGTGCACATGGATCTGATCGGCATGATGTCTAAGGCACTGATTTCTTCAACTTTTTTCTTCAACCTGAGAGCTGTAGGTGTTCAAAGATACTTCTGATTGTACATATATGTGGAGGGTAAAGGGGTATTTATTCAAATTGACCCCTCTAGTTTTACTTAGGATCGAATTGTTTTCTTCTGATGTGGGAGTCAGTTGTAGCCCGAGCAGAAGCAGTGACATTTTCAATTGATGTTGTTTATCATCTTAGCCAACAAATTCTCCATCCAAACAGACCCTAAGGGGCTCAACATGTGTCAAGAGATACTTTAGACCTTGTAATTTCTATTGTCATGAAGGGTAAGTGTACTAAATTTGCAGACCAAATGAGGTGTCATCAATACGAAATTAACATGTTAATCAATACTAAAGTAATAGAACTATCAACTTTTATATCATTTAGTTTACAAAAATTAGTTTATAAATTTAGTCTTTCTAGCATTATCTGTCATGATTTAAGCCTTGGAAAGAGCCATTGAATAATCCTTTCGCCTCCGGTTTTTAGACTTTGTTTCCTCTTTTATTTTTATTTTTAAATTAAAATTCGTTTACTAATTACTTTTCCTTTTCAAAGAAATAAAAGTTGAGAAATACAAATAAACTACATTTCGGTGATGATGTTTTTTTTTTTATAGAAAAGATGTTAGATTAGCTAGCGACGACATTTGAATCGATGTCGTCATATAAGAACTCAACACATTTTCATCATTGTGGTAAATGATCACTTACAAACGTAGACAATTGATTGGTATTAATGCTCAACAAAATGAAATTAAAATAAAGTGAAGATTGAAAAAAATTACTAAAAAAAATTAACACAAAAAATAGAACGCGTTTTTTTTAAAATTACGTTAGGCATTAGATTTTAATTTGGTTTGTTAGATCTTCTTTTTTACAATTTGATTTGATCATATTAGATCTTAACCATTAGTTTAATGAATTTATAAATATAAAACTAAAAAAATACACATATACGCGGTGGACCAGGAATTCTAAGTCAAATTTGCCTTAGAAATGAGTTATGGATTAAAACTCATATTTGTTCCAAGGGATAAAGCAAATTATGGTAAGTTTAAAACCTAAAATTTGAGTTTTATTCCTAGGTCTGAGAGCTGAAGATTTACGAAGTTAATTAACTTTTTGGTTAATTAACTTTTGGTATTATGTTCTTTTGTCTGATAAATCAATTCCTGCATCGGCTCCATCGCAAATGAATTAGCAATTGGCTTTCCGAAGTAAAAGCACTCTGCTATCCAGCTCTCTTTCTCTCTCTCTCATCATCGCCGCTGAGCGGAGATTTCGGAGCCATCGGACGGCAGATAATGGAGAACACCGACGTGTTCTTAGGACTGCAGGACTTTCTGGAACGCATGCGTCAACCGTCGGCCGCCGATTTCGTCAAGTCTATAAAAAGGTGAAACGAATTTTGGATTCCGATTGTTCATTTCACGGTTTGTTTGTGTAGTGATAATCTCTAATTCCTGTAGTTGAGAATTGAGTGTTAGCAAAGATGGTTGATGTTTGTTTTGTTTTTACTTGAATTGGATTGGATTGGGTTGGACTGGTTTGGTTTGGATTGAATTGGATTGGACTGGATTGCAGCTTCATAGTGTCGTTTTCGAACAATGCTCCTGATCCGGAGAGGGACAGCGCCGCAGTGCAGGACTTCTTTGCCCGGATGGAAATCGATTTCAGGGCTCATCCACTTTGGGCTGGCTGTTCAGAGGAGGAGCTCGACAGCGCCGGCGAAGTGAGTTTCAACTTTGAGCTTGAATTTGACATAGAATTTTGTACCGTTTGTTTGATTTTACAAATCCAACATATTGCATTTAAGTTTGGTTAACTATAAAATGTTTTGGTTATTAATTGGTAATTTTTCTTTTGTGGCTTTCTGTTATATGTAGGGACTGGAGAAGTATGTTATGACGAAGTTATTTCCTCGCGTATTTGCTTCACTTCCGGACGATGTGAAACTCGATGAGCAACTGTATGAGAAGATGGCTTTAGTACAACAGTTTATTCGGCCGGAAAATTTGGACATTAAGCCCACCTTTCAAAATGAGACTTCATGGCTGGTGAGTAGAGGACTACCCATATGAAATATGTATAAATGAAGTGTCTTTGTATACTCATGACATTGATATATAGTACATATATCACATAGGGGTAATTTGTTTGAGGTCACTAAATATTTTAGCATTAGGGTTGAATCAATCAAACATTTTGTGCTTTAAAGAGAGGTTAATGAAGAGAAATTTTAGCATGTGGTATTCGCCCTGGAGATTGTTTTTATTGAATATAGTTCACAAGGAGAATTGGGTTCAATTTATACTAGAAAATAAAATGACAATTGACCTATGCCGAAATATGAAATTATTTATTGACCTAACCAAATTTCCTATATCAGATATGCATAAATGAAGTACATTCATATAAAACATGGGCATGGATCTCAATCAAGATGTATTGATTTGCATATGAGCCATCTATATTTGTTAATAGGTCCTTGTTTAAGGGCCTTCTTAGAGAAAACTTATGTCCCACAAAAATAATTTTATAATTTCTGCCTTTCATAATGATTGCAGTATGGAATTTAACAATGAACCAATGAATCCACGAAAAAGTTTAGTACGATCTGATTATTGAGCACATGTTGACAGGTATTAAAAGGGAAATAATCAGGATATTAGGGGGCTTGCCAATTTCACTTCCCCTTTACAGTTCCTCCTAGATGCGTGAACTCACTGTCTTTTCATGTTTGGGGTAATTAATGTGTCTTAATTTCTCTAATTTGTAATTCAACTTTGTTTTCCTTAGGGCCGTTTGATAACCATTTATCTTTTTTTTGCTAGAGATATAGGGAAAGTATATGTGAGAAATAGGAATGGAGAAGGATGTAGGGAGGTGGTGGGAGGGAGGAGGGAGAAACGAAAGAGATTATATGAAAACAAAAACTTGAATGTAAAAGCAACTTAAAATTGTCTTCCGGTTTTTTTTTTTTTTTTTTTTTTTTTTGAAGTTTTCAATTTGTGTGTTACTCCATACACATTTCTTCAACCACCCTTTTTTCGCCCTTCTTCATTCCTCCTTTCTCTGACATTCTTCTTGCTCCATGTATAGCACCAAAATGAAAACTAAAAACTGAAATGAAATGGTTATCAGATGGCAAGTGCCTTCGCCCATGAGCGGTAGGTCTCGGGTTCGAGACTTGAGAGCAGCCTCTCCATAAAATGGGGGTAAGGCTAGCCGACATTCACCTCTCCCAGACCCTGCGTAAAGCGAGAGCCTTGTGCACTGGGTACGACCTTTACGACCTTTATACCTCTCAATAATGCTTACCCTGGATTATTTTTGCTTTTATCTTTGCAGCTTGCAAAAAGAACTGCAAAAGATCAATATGTACAAGGCACCGAGGGATAAGCTTGTGTGCATCCTTAATTGTTGCAAGGTTATTAATAACTTGCTCATGAAAGCTTCTGTTGCTTCCAATGAGAATCCCCCTGGAGCTGATGAATTTCTTCCTGTCCTAATTTATGTTACGTTAAAGGTAAGACTAACTTTTATAATGGCTTGAATTATTTGGTTAAACATTTACTTTTAATTCAGTACGTATGATCTTCCGTTCTAAATAAATCGTTGAATTATTATCCCTCTGGAAGGCAACATAGTATGTCAGGTTTACAAGGTTTCTTTATTGTATTGATGCGGTGCAGGCAAACCCTCCACAACTGCACTTAAATTTATTGTATATACAAAGGTACAGGCGACAATCTCGATTAGTTGGTGAAGCATCCTATTTTTTCACAAACATGCTCTCCGTTGAATCCTTCATCTCAAATATTGACGCAAATGCCATTTCAATGGATGAATCTGAGTATGACAAGAACATGGAAACTGCTCGAGCACTTCTTTCTGGACTTTCAGCTGATCTGGACGGTCAGTATACTCAAAAAGGTCAATTTGCAGGATATGGAAATAGATCAGAGTCTATGGAAACCAGACATCAACATCCGAATGCCAACAAGGACCTAGCGGCACAATCCAGATCTTCTGAAACAAACTCCCGAGGGAAGAAGATACCCAATGAAAAAGATAACTCACCCTTTTCAAAGATTCCATCCCTTTCGGATTTGGAGAATAAGGGTGCAACGATCCTCGTGACCAATGATCAGGCGAACCAGGTTTTCCAGGAGTATCCATACTTGTTTGCGAATGTCGGTGACCTAACCATCAGTGATGTAGAAGACCTTCTTAATAATTACAAGCAACTTGCATTCAAATATGTTTGTCTTTCTAACGGGTTAGGCGTTACTGCTCCATCTTCTTACAATTCGCATACAGAGTTCCACCAGCATACTGAAACGGCAAAGCAACAGGAACTCTCTAGAGCTATAGAGCCGAATGATGAGACATCAAATGACACTGATACGACGGATGATGCTTTAAAGAAAGAGCCCCTTATTGATGATGAAAATTTGGAATCCAGATTGTCACAGGATCAAGAAGTTTCACCACAGAGTGGTACACATGAGGAGTACTCTCAATAGCTGCTCTACCAGGACATGTATTTTGCAGGAGTATGTTTTCCAGTGCAGTCGCCATCATCAGGGCTCCATTTCTCCTCTTTGCCGGCGCAGATGGAATATCGTCATGGTTGGAAATGAGCGCTGTCATTTGTCCATTCTCGCCTCGTACTGGTCAAGAATATAGGTAGAAGTGAGGAAGTTAGACTTTGAGTTTGGGAATGCATCAAATTGCATTTGTATGAAGATGGAAAATATATACAACTCTCAGGAAACCGGGGTGCAACAGTGTATGCTTGCAGGCACTCGTAATCTTACTCATGTAGCAGTACAATGATCCTGAGCCACGCAGCCATGCTGGATACAATCAAATGAGATTTTCCGTAGTTGCACCTTGCTATCCGTCATTAACGAGCAGAAATGTATGTTCTAACTTCGAAATTCCTTTCCTCTGTTCTTTTCTCTGTACTGTCAAAATCTTGTGTACAAAAGTGTCTCAATGTCACTGCGATTGTAAGCGGTTCTGTTTATTTTTGCAATTTACTATTATCCACGGTTAAATAGGCTGCTGTAGGAGTTTAGTGTATGATGGAGTAGTATCTGACTCTGGCTTGATATTGTAGTTTGTCCACAACGAAAAAAATAATTAATTTTGAGTTAAGCTTTCTAATTTTCAATGCTGGCGAAAAATGTTGATCATGTAACACAAGTACTCTTATTAACATTCAGAGTCGAAATAAGTTTTGAATTCAGTGTAATATCCGACGACGCCATCATGTCTGGCTGGCATGCCGTGCTACGGTGTGACTGTCTTCTGGGATGATCGTAGCCGTTGATGCATGTGGGGCCCACCACACGTCAACAGCTACGAAATTTATTCAATATTCCGAGTTGGAATAAGTTTGAATTTTCTGCCTTAGATGACCATGTGGTTTGACTGTTTGACAGTTTGATCATTTGTAATTTTGGCATCGATGCCGACATCATGAATAAGATGTGGCATACAAATACAAGAACGCCGACTCTCGTCTCGTCTGGGTGACCGGGTCTGGTGGACGTGTTTCTGGGCCATCACTCACTCGGATGGACAAAGTCAGACGTCAAAATCAAATACCTTGAAAAATTGTACCAATTAATTACTGTTATTGTTGGTAAGTCACATATATCCCTCCCCCTTTGAAACCAAACAGACAGCAATTAGGAAAGTTCAGATGTAAGATGTAATCTAATCGTATTTTTCACGTGCTGGTGTCGTGCCAAATCCCAATACAAGGCCCTACGTATTGACTTACCACTAGATAATGCAAAGGAGCTAAACCATTTTAAAAGAGCTATATATACCTGAAGCAACATTATGTATATGTGTGTGTATTTAATAATTTATAAGTGAAGAGTTTTAATCAGTTATTATGGTTCGACATCCTTACTTATATCATTATATTTTCACTGGAAGGAACGCAATGATTTTCGTCTCCTGTATCGAGCCATAAGAATTGATTAGACCCCAACAAATTACTAGTTTTATGTGAACCCTAACTAAACAATGAGAATAACAAGTTTAATTTGGTTTTTGACTTGATAACTAAACTAACTTAAAAATACAAGAAAAGGTAAAGATGAATAATAGATTGATTTAGAAATGATGGGAATGGGACTAAGGATATTGATTTCATGCATAAGTTTGTTACTTAAATTACAGTCGTATGCTTTGTAGATGGATTTGTATTTGTATATTGGTTTTTTGTAAGAAGATATTAAGTAGATATCTTGGAATTAGAAGATGCATGAACTTAGAAGATTGTATCTCTAATAGTTTAAAAAATATATAATGAATAAAAAAAATTTAAAAGTGGAGAAAAAATAATATTGGACTTAACATAATAACTATGTTATTTTTTTTGGACCCAAATCTAAATGCTCATTCTTTATAATTAATGAGAAGGGAAGATTTAAATTTGAGACATATTTCAATGACGTGAAGTACCACTACACTAAGAGACAATATATGGAGAAATTCTTCAATTATAATACCGACATGTGCGAGTGTTATGGATTAGTATTTGCTCATGTTATAATATGTGTTTATTTATCAATAATGTATCTCAAATATAAACTCGGTGTCTACTCATATTATACAACTTAAAGCTACTAGCAAGATGCTTAAAAAAAAATTAAAAATAAAAAGCTATTAGCATGATAATCCCTCTCCATTTGTGAGTTGAATGTCTTAACAAGATGGATACTTAATTATGATTGACCTCTTACGTGACTTAACTATTATATAAAAACAATAATATTACAACAATTGAAAGTAACACACCAATAATATTTCCAAGATATGTGTTATACGATCATACATCTTTTCGAGGACATTATTGAAGATAACACACCAATTCCTTGTTACTTTCCTTTTGTATATTGTTCGTTGGCCTTCATGTCATGCCTTCCCTTCAATAATGTTCGAGAGGAAGTAGAAACCATTCAGATCATAACATATAATACTTTGATGTCGATGTTTCTAAAGGACATATAAAAATATAACTTGAGTTAGTGATATCCAGGACAACCAGCAAACACAAACAAAAGCTTCCAAACCCTACTAAATACTAATAGGGTAGAGAGAAACTTATATGAAATGAATTTACCGCTACTGTAACATCTCAAATCAATAATATTATACTGTATATAAATTTTTCTTCATGCAACATAATATTATTAAATCGAGATGCCACGTTTTTTTGTCCGAACGTCGATTTCGGGATCTAGATTTGATCATCTTATGCAATTTGACCTGTTATATTTCTGAATAGCCAGGCAGGCCAACTGGAAGTAGATCACCCTCCCTTCTTGTGCTTCACACCACTACAAAAGTTATAAAATATTACATAATATTTTGAGACAACCTTCAATTATACTGAATATTTCAAACTGGGGGTCCAAGTATCTTCATATTATAAAGATTAATGTCACATAGTTTTGAATATATTTATGTATTTATATCCTTTGCCATTGCATTTGGCCATTAACCTTTTTCTTGTTCTTTATACGTTTATATTTCATTAGCTTCTACCCATTTCTAAAGCCTTTTACTTTCTAAAACACGTGCAAATGAGGGGTCGTTCCTTGATCTTTGGTTCTTATAATATAAATCATTGTCCAGCTTGTTTCTTCATATTTTTTTGTACAGATCTTATATATAACATTGTTGATTTGGTCCTTATAAATCGTATTAACTTTAAAGTGGGAGAGAGGAAGTTGTATGTTGATGAAATTGTAGCAGATAATAGACAACCAACTTCTATACCCAAAGTTTCAAAGATTTTGCTCTGATCTGATCCCACATAGACAATAATGTAAACCCTTTAAATTATGTAAAATCCTAATTATTGATAAATGTTATACAGTCTAGCATGTTGTGTTATTTAATATTTTTTATTCTTAACGAGGAAAGGAGATTTGAGCTTGATAATTTTAACATGTAATGCACTAGTATTAAGTCCTTAATTAACCGACCAAAAATCTTCGTTGAAAAACAAAATCAAAGTAGATTTTCTTAAAGCAATGTCAATGGTGATTGGTGATGGATAAACATAATTGAGAATTGATGCGATGAACCTCTTTTTACAAGTGATATGGTCCCTTCGCAGTCCTACTACACTACTACACACCAAACACATAATAATGGCATGCATCTTAGGCCAAAGTGCCAACCAAGGGAGCTTGTTTGTTAAGATATGATAGAATTAGTGTACCAAATGCACCTTTCATGTGCCTCCCACGTTCTGTAGTGCATGGTTTGTCTGCTGAGATGTTTGCAGCTCCTGCTTCTATTTTAGGTTTTCCCTGCACCTGATATGCATGTGCTTCAATTTTAAATCCAAAATGTTCAGCCAACCCAAACTCTCATACAATACAAAATGGATTGTGAAAACGAAGAAATATTATTAGCATTGAGTGATACGAAAAATGAATGGTTAAGATTGAAAATAAAAGATTTGGAAGTCGTGGAAATTAAATGTAATAACTAATTAAACAACTGATAACACTGAGTGCCACGTAACATTGAAGTCATACCTGCAATATGAGAATAAAATTGTATTTATTCTTATGTTGCTATACCTATTGAAATAGTTTAGGATTCAATTCTTTTCATATACCATACTAGCTAGTTAGTAGATCTAGACTTAACCAAGTTGGTTAGAGCTTCTACATTTAAGCTAAAATTATCCTTGCCGTTGTTTAGCTGAATTTATAATTAATATAAACTATCTTATTGTTTGTCATATAATATATCAGTTAGATGGATTTACGTTAAAAAAATCAGGTTATACATGTTTGACAAATTGACACTAATTAACTTACTTATCTTTACATTATCAAATTGTATAATTTTTAAATTTACGATACTAGTTAATTATAGCCTACTAATTTTTTGTTGAGTATTTGGTTTACCGCAATTGCTTGAGTTCTCTTTAGCTGGCAGCTGGAGTTTTGACAAGTTTAATACTTTTAGATACCTTAAGTGAGCTTATCCTATGACAGATGATGCTCGTGATGCTGGCGCGGTTCATGTTAAACAATTAATAACCAATTTTATTAGCATACTAATTTTATGTTAATTATATATTCTTGTTGTGTTGAGCATGCATGGTTTGCCCCAATTGCTTGGAATTGTCTTCTGCTCACAGCTAGAGTTCTGACATGCCAGCTTAAGCAGAAAGTTACAAATTTAAATTTTCGTTGTTTTCTTTATTGGTACTTTCTTGATCGATGCTAAAATTGGTTTCTTGAGTTATACAACAGCTGCTATAAAACAAGAAAATTGGTTTTGGCTTCTCAAGGTTTATTTGCAATTTAAAAAGTTTATATGCTGCATTTTGAGTTAAAATTTAAACAGAACGAGTGTATGATGATATTTTCAATGGAAGTGTGCAAATTTGAGACGTAAAAGTCACATTTATATTTTATTTTACATTTTTGGAAGATGAAAATATGAGTTCTACCTCAATCGGGGAGATGTACCCCATTTACTTTTATCTCTTAAACTAGCGAAGACCACCTTCTAAATATGTAAATTTATATTTATATTTACATTATCCGGCCTAGATGACCATTTTGCATCTCGTCCGTTAAAGAACCTTACAACCAACAAAAAAAAAAAAACTCATTCCAAAGCATTTGGCATCTCCCGCTAATAAAACTACATATATATCATTTGAAAAGGAAAAAAATGCTTGCTTCAAAGTAAACAGCACATCACAGTTTAATAATCTCGTTTCAACATGAAAAGAAGAAAACTTGAAAAGCATTAAACTATAATTAAAGTTTGATCTTCCAAATGCAACTGTGGTGAAATATGCATACAAAGAGAAACATAGGATTAATTAGCTTAATTAGTAGGAGCTTGGAAGAAGATTATGTAAAGTGAAAGCATATATTTTTTTTGTTGTTTTGGTAATTTGTGGTAGTTGTTGCAGCTGAAAGTATGAAATGCATGCTTTGTAGTTTATAACAACAGAAGAGACCGCGGATTAAGTTGTTAAAGGCCTTCGGGGTAAACGTGGTTCCACCTAATAATATATGCTCGACATTTTTAAGTGCGATTAGTTTGACCCTTGACTGCTTCAAGTATGCATATGTCCCAATCAAAATATATATGCACCAAAACTTAAGCAAA